CGCCATGCAACATTCTCGAACTGCTCTTTTAGCGCTAATCTGTGTGACAGGCTGCTCCGAGGCAACGACCTAGCATGCCCCCCCTTGGCTGAGCTTAGCGGACGCGTTCATTCGGATTTTGCTTTTTAGCATTAAAAAAAAAGAATAAATCAAAATCTTCACATCCAAGGTTACATTCAAGCAGTGGGTGGGTGGTCAGCGACCGCTGCTTTCAGTGCAGTCCATGCGAACATTGAATTTATTTTGTCCAATCGGATTTCAGCCTCACTGTGTTACCGTGTCAGTCTAATCTGCCCGGGGCCTTTTTATTTATTAAGCATTTTTATTTTCACAATTTAGAACTGTTCCAAGGGAAATCTGTCAGAGTGACTTTTTCATGTCTTGCATCCAAATAGTGTTGCGTTTGGAATACCTTTTACGATTCAAAAGAGAACTACAATTTCAACATATTTTAGAGTGAGCGAAAAGTGTTAGCTTTTGATATCTGTCACGCTTGCATTTGAAAAAGTCACCAAGTATCACCACAAAAGTCTCTTCGAGGCAGCCTCTCTACCGCCGCACCAAGCCATCGTTTCAGTGGAAGCTGCATTTTGCAGTTGCATGAGACAGAACCATCCCCTTAAAACCGAGTGAATTCAAGTACACTAGAGTGTGACAAGCCGATGACAAGTGTGCCGTGGTTCTTTGTCCGTTGTGGATTTTTATCCAATCATATTCGAGCATTTATCAAGACACAGTCTTTTATTGCGGAAAAAAACAAACATATTATGTCTTATTTAAAAATACAACAGAAAATGCGGTCTTGAAGTTACGCTTGTTTTGCCAACTCATAATCTGATGCTGTTGTCTTTTCGGTGTCAAAAGTCCACGAGACAAAACTTCAAATGTTGAAAAAAATCAAGAAAGCAAAAAAACATTCCCACTGAAGATGGAATCAGAGGAGGTATTTTTTTCTGACTGCTTCTTCTGCCCAGTCCGTCTGTAGGGACAATGTACTTTTCATCAAAAGTAGCTGCACCTCAGATATTCTTCATTTCCTCAAGAGCGCCGCCGCGTCACGTCTCCTTTTATGTCCGCTCACAAAATGTCCACGCTCTCCCGAGATAACCCACTTTTCATGTTGCCAGGCATCCTCCAGGGTTCCTATCTAGGTCCGCCGCAGATCGGCTAATTATCCGTGTTTATGTTTCTGACATGACACCACTCAAGGCTCTCGGCATAAACATCAGAGGTCGCTTGTGAAGAGTAACGAGGTTGCGATTTGACCACATCCAGGTAGATAAAGGATGTTCTCATGCGATGGAGAATCCCCGCAGCCGCTTTTCAATTCCAGCTCATCTAACGACGGCTGCGACTGACTGAAGAAATGACACACACACACACACACACACACACACACACACACACACACACACACACACACACACACACACACACACACACGTTATCTTTTGGATTAAACATACCAACGAGCATGTCATTGGAAAGAATGTGCAACACCCTAGGAACACCTACTTTTTTGTTTTTTTTGTTTTTTTTTTTAAATACACAGCGCACTAATGATCTGATCCAGGTAGAATTCATTATCCTCCTCTGAACTCTCTTATCAAATCTGTGCCAGCGGAAAGGGAGGCGACCATTTGAAGAAGAGTTAAAAATGGGTTTTTTTTTTTCCTCCAAGTGCTGAATTTCACAAGGATGTTGCTGATGCTTTCGACATTCCCGCTGTACATGTTGTAGCCTCCGGTTCTTCATCAAGAAAACAATTAGCGACAAGTTGCCGCACTCCCTCCCTCCCCTCATCAGTGAATAATTCATAAATAAGATTGAACTTTTTTTTTTCCCCTGGAAAAAAAAGTTTTGATAGCACAACAATAAAGTTCCATTTTTTTTTCAAGAAAGAAATCTCGATGTTAAGAGTATATGTGTATCTCTCTCGCTCTCTCCCTGTCTCTGTCTCTCTTTCGCTCTCTCTCACTCATTCACTCATTCACAGAGAGGAAAATAATATGAATAAAGTCGTATTTTTTCCACGTTAAAAATATGGCACAAAATTATGAAATTTGAGTCATGTTTTTTCAAGAAAAAAAAGACATGGAGATAATGAGAAACTAAAGTAAGTAATTATTCCACAGCATTTAAGTCTCGTTAAGACTAAAACCATGTTTTTGAAGAAACAAAATTCCAATTATTACAAGACAGAGATCAGATGTTTTTCCAATTTTTTTTCCAGAGACAAAAACCCACCCAATTGATTATTATAATTATGTTTTTTCGCGTGTGCAGATGTGCAGAATTGAACAAGAATGTTGCAGACGGTTTCGACACCTCGCTGTAGAAGTTCTCGCCTCCGGTTGTTCATCAGGAAAACAATTAGCACCAAAACGCCTCACTCCCTCACTCGCTTCCGTCAGTGCATAATTCATCACCAATTCAGTTGGTGGAGCTTGCACTCAGATTTCAAACAGTTCGTATTGTCGTTTGCAACTGTGGTTATTTGTTACTACAGTTTTCCTTTTATTTTTAGCAGTTGGAATATTACCGGATTCAAATCGTCTTTTTAAACAAAAGGGATATGAGGTCATTCTTTTAAGTCATACTTTTTCAAGTATCAGGAGATTTTTATTACTGCCGTGGAGGGAAAATGGCTAACTTTGCCTGAAGTCCAGGTGCGGAAATTCTTCCGTTGTTATTTAGTAGACTTGAATTGATGAGTGAGAACCATGTCAATATTTTCATCTTACAATTTAGATTGGAATCGTACGCCTGTATTTGCACATCCATCCATCCATCCATCCATCCACTTATCCGCTTTATCCTCACAAGGGCCGCGGGGCGTACTGGAGCCTATCCCAGCTGTCTTTGGGCAGTAGGCGGGGGACACCCTGAACCGTTTGCCAGCCAATCGCAGGGCACACACAGACGAACAACCATCCGTGCTCACACTCACATCTTGGGACAATTTAGAGTGTTCAATCAGCCTGCCATGCATGTTTTTGGAATGTGGGAGGAAACCGGAGCACCCGGAGAAAACCCACGCAGGCACGAGGAGAACATGTAAACACCTACGACCTCTGTCTGCACTGTGAGGTCGACGCGTGAACCACTCGATCACCGGGCCGCTGTATTTGCACATAGGTTAAAAAAAATAGCTTGGGCACGTACAGTAATAGCCATTGAATTTGGCCTCCGTCCGCATGACAAGACTCGCAATGGAGGCCAGCAGGTAGGCAGCAATGTCGGCGAGCTGGCGCGGCGTCATCGCAGCTCGTGCGTACACAACCGTCTGCATGCCTGCTTATACAGTATGTCTTTATTTATGGATGGCTATTTTTACATCGCGGCCACAAATAGGAGCAACGACGCCCAAAAGCAGCTCCGGTCTCCCTCGGCGTTCCCGGCGTCGCGCCGCCTGCTCATTCATTCATAACTTTGCACCAACACTGCACGCGTTCTTCGACTTTGGAACGTTAGGAACGTTCTCCCGACCACAACCACCAACTTTTACTACTCACACGCTTGGACGGAAGCACCGTTTATTTAGGCAGGGGCTGGACTCAGACTTATTCCACATACATTTTCTTCCACATCCCATCATGTTTTTTTTTTCTTTTGAATTGAAGTGAAATATTTTGGGGTCTCTTCAAGATAAAAAAAAAAAAGAATATTATATATTCTAAGAATAAAATATGAAATGTAACAAGTCTTAATTAAAAAAATATATAATAATAATAAAATTGAAAATTTACCCTCCCCCAAAAAAGTTTAGAAATTAAGTCATACTATTGAAGTTGTAATTTTTTTGGAGGGGGGGAAGTTGTAATATTTTGAGAATAGTTTTCTTTTTAGAAAACAAGGTGTAGTATTACAAGAATGAAGTTGTATTTTAAGACAAGAACACTATAACTATAAGTGTTTTTCTAGAAATCACTTGTAGTTTTAACGCAACAATAATTAAGTATAATTAAAAAAAACTATAACAAGAAGAAATAAAATCTTTTATTTCTGGGAAAAAAGATTAATATTTTTCAGTAAAAACTCTTGATTTTACAAGATTTTTTTGAAGAAAAAAATACAGCCTGATTTTAATATTCCCTAAAATGTACAAATTGATCATTTTTAATCGTAAAATATGAAATGTATTTCAGGATTAAAATGATGTTTTTCTCTGTCAGAAAAACTCTCCAATCTACAAGGTTGAAATCATATTTTTTAACTTTCCTTTTTGTAATTTTTCTCGACGCGATAAAACCAAAGTCACGAAAACATCTTTCAAAGAAAAAATAAATGCCAATTGAAAACATTTAAAGGGCAAATAAGAGACAGAACGTCATGAAAAAAAATTAATACAATATTGAAGTCATATTTAAATAATGATAGTTTTAATTGTCTTTATTCCATTATTTTTTAAGTGTTTGACTCGCGATGCAAGCAGTACAAAAAAAATTTACGCTTTTCATGAATCAAATTTTTTTTCCTTCGAAGAAGAATAATAAACAGAGCAAATAAAGGCCAGAAGAATTACAAACCAAAACAAAACACACACACACACACACACACACACACACACGCACACAAAAGGCTGCACAGCCGCTGTCCTCTCTGCAGTGGCCGGCGTGCCAGGCGGCCCAGACCGGGCAGCCGGTTGCCGTGGGCGACCGGCCGATCAGTGATGTGGCGGTGATGCCTCTAATGAAGCTGACACAGCACAGCCTCCCCGCTCGCCGGGCTGCCGAGGGCCTCCTGCTCTCCATGTAGCAACAAAATCAGCCCCCCACCCCCACCCCCAATCCTCCCCTTCCCCCAGCTCGACTTGTTTCATGTGCGGCTGATTTGATGACTGCCTCATTTATTCTCTTGTTTATCGGCTGGGTTGAGGCAAAGACGGTGTTTGTGGTGGCTGAAATGGGTCACGGTCTGCAAAACCGAGAAACCGCCCCCCACCACCATTACCAACACATCGCTGCCTGTGTGTTGATCGCCCGTGTGTTGTTTTCCAGGAGCCGGCCAGCTGAGGTGAAGGCAAGGGCACAGTGTGGATGAGCCGCCCTGGAAACGAGGACCATGATCTGAAGGCTCGCCGGTCCGCTGTTCTTTCTCCATCGTCATCATTGAATAAACGGCTCCCGTGTCCGGCAGGAAGTGTTTCAACGTAACGAGCGGGAAGTGGAAGAAGATTCAGTCCCCGTTCACCGTGAACCCCCCCTCCCCCACGTCCGCCGCAACGACATCAACATGGGGAGGAAAAAGATTCAGATTCAGAGGATCACCGACGAGCGCAACAGACAGGTTAGCGCTAAATGCACACAGTTGAACCCTCTCAGCTGGTCTTGCTGGGGTAGCCGCTTTTGCACACGGTTGTTAAAATTGCACCTTCAAATAATTTGATTCCAAAAAAAAGTTGAAACAAAATCACTCGAAGCTCACATGGTTATTAGAATTGCAACTGGGGCTGAAGCAAGTCATCGAATAACTGTGGACCGCCCCCCGGCATACTCTCGGTTTGTCACATACAGGTTCACAAATCTGCATTAAATTTTTTTTTGTTTTTTTTTTTTTTTTTTTTTTCAAATTTTCATGGATGCCGGTTGCCTTTTTTATTTGTGGGGGAGGTAAAACAATGTTTGTTAGCAAATTTTTTTTGCGCCCCCCCCCCCCCCCCCCACTGCATTTTTAATGGCTGTCAGTGACACACACATTTTCTCAATTTGTGGGCTGTGCATTTTCTTCCATGAAACCCTGACTGGAAATATTTTGCAGTCTTTGGCCAAAATCGTGGGAGTTTATCAAGGAAAAAACACAGGAAATGGCCACGTTTTGCCTAAAAATGGCTTTTTCCTTTTCCAAGCACGGTGTATTGAGACTTTTTTTGTGGGTCTTCTCATGATCTACTTACCTACCAAATTTCATGTCAGTAAGTGCGAATAACTTTGAGGGCTGAATTTTCTAATCCGAAGAATAATAACAAAGCCGAACCACAACGATTCCAAAAGAGCTAAATAACAGAAATAGAATAATACATTTCCCACAGGAGCGTGCACCGTTGCGGTCACCCCGTGTAGCTGGAACAGCACTTGAGCGTTCGCTCAGCAGTATCAGCACAACACGCCAACCAAGTGTGTATTTTTTTTTTTTTTTTTTTCTTTCTACGAGGCTCATATTACATCGTGGACCATCGGTGGTGGGGTGGGGGGGTATCTCCTAACTTGTGGAAATCGATCAAGAAGGTATCCTACCACGTCCTTGGAGCGTGGTTACATCAGGAGCCATATTGTCATCCAGGATGAAAGGCTAAATGAGCCATCGAAAACGAGTCGCCTGCTAAAATGGGCTTCGCTCGATTGAGCTCATTGAGTCACGGATTTGACATGGCCACCTCCAGCAGCCCACAGTCGGAGATCAACAAGACGGCGGCGGAGGAGAACAAGAAGAAGAAGTAAATAAAATAAAAAGCCGCGCCGTCGGCTTCTTTGAGGGGGGGGGGGCGACGGGGGGAATTATCCTCCCGCTTTTTATTTCTTCCTCATCAATCCCAGCAGGTTGTATTTCCATAAAGGCGCACAAATGACCCCCGCCGGCTACCAAGGATTCTTATTCAGATGCGAATGGAGCTATTTGCGGTCCGGTTGATGCATCCGGAGCTTATATCAGGTGTCCAGCGGAGAGTCGATTGGGTTTGACGAACTCACTGGATGGATTGATTGATCCTGGGGTGAGGCCGAGGATTGCAAAATTCCAGGAATAAATCAGGAATGAACCAAATGGAAGGTCGAAGGTTTGCCGTGCTTCCCTCAGCCACCCGCGGCGGCGTAATAAAGATTCATACCGATACATAACGCGGATATCTCACTAATCTACAGTCATATTACTTGGTCTTGGCAGAGGATAAAGAATATATGTCTGTACTGTTTACCTTTCTTTGCTATTTGCAGCAGGGCTGGCGTGGGAATAGAAGTTCAGAACATTCAATTAACACGGTGACAGATAAGTGTGAACAAAGAGCTTTCTCTATTTCTGGCGCATTTGATGATTCACCAAATGTGCCAAACAGCCACAGTGTCGCACCAACTAGTGTCGGCATCCTTCACGAATAACCGATACGTTGAATTGAGGCAGTGTCAAGGCATTCTCTTAAATTAAAGGGCACCCGTCTATTTGCAGGTATCTGTTTGGAAAAAAAAAAAAAGAATGAATAAAATGTCTTCTTTTGAAGCTTAATGAAGAGCGACACCGACGAAAGGGAATCGAATGGATGTCGGAGAACATGAGAGCCCGTCACCCTCCCACATGTTGATTGGGGAGATGTTTCCAAAAAGCTCCACCAAACAAACACCCAGCGCGAGTGTGGGCCCGCCTGGAAGCATGACAGTATCTCCAATTGCACATTTCTTCTTCTTCTTTCTGTTCTCCTTTCAAGCATTACTCACACTGTGAAGCATTGCTGGGTTTTAGGCTTTTGTTTTTTTTTTCAGCCAGTATTGACATTTTGTCAAGACAAATGTTTTACACCGGTGCCGGATGAAGAAAATGCGATTTTCTTATTATGCAAACCTGTCAGCTTTTGGTGCAAAATGTATAGCCCGAACAAAATTGACTCTGATTTCTTTTTTTTTTTTTTTTGGGGCCATTTTGGTTTGCAGCAGCAAGTCATTCTGGCCTTTCTACAGCATCCATATAAATGTGTCTAGAAATTTTGTCAGATTGCTGTCAAATTTATAAAACGGACACAGAGTGATGAACAACCCCAAATTGGGAAATGCTTGACTTTTCACGGGCGGCTGAGTTGGATGACTCTCAGTAGTGCATTGTTGAAATTCTTGTCCCAAAATCTAGTTAGCAAAGCAAAGCAAAAAAAAAAAAATATTCCTACCATTCGAGTCATCATTTCATCCACGCCAGTTGCCATGGCGGCTCTGAGCGTGTTGATGTTCCAGGCTTGCGCTCGAGCTAACAAATACTAGCGAGCCGTTGGCTACGGGAAAACGACGAGAGTCCGCCGCAGCTCTCAGTGGTGGTTTTCCTCATCCATCTGCCACGCGAGCAGAACTCTGCCAAGACACTCGCATGCATGCACGCATCAAAAAAAAAAAAAATTCCATCCTTTTTGCTTTCTTCCGTTGCCATTGGTTACCTGCTCTTCACCTAATGTCCAGCTAGTTCGTCCTGGATCCTGGACTGAGAGAAGCAAAGTACCCAATAAAGTAGGAAGGGGGGTGCTGGATGGATGCTTTACTTTGCATCGATATTGCATGCAGTCGGCCAACTTCTGGCACCGACGAACCTGCTTTTCCAGCCTCGCAATGCTGTATATTGTCATTCTAACAGCAATATAATGGAAGTAATATTTCATTTTTAGAAGCATTGTTTCTGTGGACTGCTTTATGTCTGTGTTGCATGTAGTCCACTAACTGGTGGCATCCGTCAGCGATATTTTTTTTTTTTCTGCCCCCACTCTCCTAATGACCTCCCCCTCTGCGCGATGATAGCAAATGATTGCGTTTTATGACGGCAAGCAGGCGAGTAATGACGCAGATGAGAGGATCAGATAAAGGAATGGAGGACGGAAGTAACTCGGTGTGAGGTCCTTCTTTCACGTTGGCCCTTCTCCTCTCTCATCCTTCCATCCCCGTGCTGCTCTGACATGTTGCAGCATCTGTCATGCCTCCTTCTCACTCCTCCTCCTCCTCCCCTTTCGCCCTCGTTCTCTCGTCGCTTCCTGCTGCCACAAATCAAATTATATCGGGGTCGTATCCACGGGCAACCACTTTCCCTCCGCGTCGCACCCCCCCGACCCTCCCCTCCGCGCACCCTCACCCAACCCGTTTCCCACCTCATCACACGGTGCCGCGATCATCTCACTCACCTCCGCTTCCCTCCCCTCCCCACAGCTCTCATCTTTATCTCCGTGCCCATCTACATATCACACGCGCGCGCGCACACACACACACACACACACACACACACACACACACACACACACACACACACACACCCACACACACATACGCTGATATGTTGACAGACTAATTTCCTCAAGAGTCATCTTAACTTAACCTCACCTGAAGCTCATCCCAAAGTACATTTGTGCATGCGTGCGGACACACACACACGCACACACATTTTGGTGGATAATGTTGGGAATGGACGGCAATATCAATTGTGACAGTTGATTTGACCAAAACTGATTTTAATGCTGTTATGACCAACTACAGTCCTAATAGTCCTGATTTAGAAAAGTCGGTACCCCAAGTTGTTTACCTCATAATAACACAGAAGTGAAGCAGTTTTATCAATCCCCGTGGTTGGAATGCTACTTGACAAAATGCAGTCTAATTGTCCTGGGGCTGGAAAAGCAAAGGATTGATGCAATCAACATAGATGTGAAGCGGTTCAGCGAAACAGTGCTTATAAAACAAGATATTAGTTTATGGTTTTATACTATAATGATCTGTACAGTCCAATGATTGTGCTTAAACATCTTCAAATTGGGCCGAATTATCCATTTTCCCTTCCCAGTGTCATGTGACTCAGTAGTGTCACAAGGTCTTCATTGTAAATGAGAATCGAGTGAAATCGCTGGTATTGCTCACACTCTTTTACTGCAAAGCTCAATTATGGTACCTTATGGCAAAAAACTATCTTAAATTTTGAAAAATCATAAAGATCGCATTAAGATTATATGAAGGAATTGGTTACACAAAATATTGATACTTGGGCCCCAATTTGAACATTTTCACTTCGGGATGTAGGTGGCGTAGTCGCTTATGTTGTCAGCATTTAGACATTTTCTTTTTAAGTACTTCAAGGTGACAGTAAAACATTGTTACACAGTACAAGCTGTATACTGACTACTTTAAATTTGAGTAAATAAAATTTCTTACATTTTTTTTGTTTTTGTTTTTTTTTTTTACAAAAATTGTGAGTGGTGCAGTCACTTTTGGGGTACAATAAGCTAAGATCAAATCAAATTGCTAATTTTTAATTGTCACAGAAACAAGTAACTACATTTTGTGCTGTTATTTGAAAGGGAAGTACAGGATGTATAAGAACCGGTACAAAAGAGTGCTACCAGGTTTCGTTGCCTAACCGTCGTCAAAATAGAAAAGAGCTTCTGTTTCTAGATGATAAAGAGGCTTAAAATGGAGCCCTGTGAGACGCCACAACCGATTGACTACTTGGATGTCAAAATCTGCAGAAATCATTCATCTTCTTGCTGATTTGTCCAAATCTGCATTCTTCTGTTGGTTGACTGAAATATTTTGGTTTCAAGCGAACCGGCCCCCCACGCTCACATCTCTCATTCGCACTCACCTTCTGAGCACTCTCACAAATGTGTGTGTGTGTGTGTGTGTGTGTGTGTGTGTGTGTGTGTGTGTGTGTGTGTGTGTGTGTGTGTGTGCTATGACGGAGCACAAGTGTGCGTGTATGAAAGAAAAAGCGAGAGAGAGGGCGGGCATGGAAAAGAGCATGGCAGAGTGTGAAAGTGACGAGGATAGTCAACGTGACAGCAGACAAGAAGCATGTTTGGCCAGCTGGTCCTCGAGTCTGTTGCCTAAAAACAGCCTCCCACCCCTCCCTTGAATGCAATCTGATGCAATGAATGGCGTAATGGAAACAGCAGAAGTGTGATTAAAAGTGTTGAAATTGTACTTCCCCTTAAATCGAGAGTAAACAAGACCTGTCGGGTTGATCTGCAATCCCGACTGAGCTCGTGTAGATAAAGCTTACGGGCTGTCAATCAAGTGCTTTGGCCCACATTTGTAATATCGAGTCTTTACACGGGTGGCTTGTCACACGGGGTGTCTCTAGCTTACTGCTGCTGTACCGGTCGCGAGCATTTATCCTTTGGTTGTTGTCGTGTTCCTGACTGGCCCAAAGCTGGGTGAACTTAGCGTCATGAAATTTAGTAGGCATGTCTATCATGAGTAAAGCCACAAAAAAGTCTCCTATTTTGAATGAACTAGCCAAATATCTGTAGCTGAAATATTAATGCTCAGCACACCTCTCAACTTGCGCCGCGTTTCTTTCCGCCGCATAGGTGACCTTCACCAAACGAAAGTTCGGCCTGATGAAGAAGGCGTACGAACTGAGCGTGCTGTGCGACTGCGAGATCGCCCTCATCATCTTCAACCACTCAAACAAGCTCTTCCAGTACGCCAGCACCGACATGGACAAGGTGCTGCTCAAGTACACCGAATACAACGAGCCGCACGAGAGCCGAACCAACGCCGACATCATCGAGGTAACGTGTCGAAACATCGCGCATTTGAATTAGCCCACCACCCCCCCAAACACACACTCAAACAACTTCAACCTACATTTTACTGTGCCAGATTGTAAATTTCGTTCGGCTGTGTGCGTCAAAGACAAAATGATTAGCGACACACACATACACTTTTAAGTGCCTTGTTAGCATTAGCCATTAGCTGTAGCACCAGAATGTATTCTTAGCCTATTTGTGCGATGTTCATTTGTGAACGTTAACCGTCGATCGATGGCTAAGTTAGCTACTTCCGCTACTGGAAGACGTGTGCTTTGTCTTTCAGAATAAGAGCAAAAGACAGAAAGTGCCACCATATAACTGGATAAATGCTGCTAACGTAACAGAATTCTTTGTGGATATCATTTCATCTACTCATCCATTTTCGCCAACGCTTATCCTCATTTTGATTTTTGGGGTACCACACACGCGCACGCACGCACACGCACGCACATTCACACACACTGGCACAAGTGTGAAGCTAATTTGTTGCTTCTAATTTGTTTGTATTTTTATTGTTGTTTTGAATGAAAAGGATATTTTGTTTTGAATGTGACATTATTTTCAAATAGACTTTTGAAACTGAAAAAAAAAAAGTGTGGCCCTGAAATGAAAGAATTGAATGAAAGTTTTTTTGACATTCTCACATGTACAAGCACAGAGCAACTATAAGATTTAGCTCTGCTCTTGCAGCCTCTGGCACGTTTACACAGTCAAGATCTTTTTGTGCAGCATAATGCTTTTTATTTGGCTTTTTCCACAAGGTTTTGTGGTTGAGAGGAGCATAGCATTGGCTTCTTCCACAGCAAAGGTTTTGACTTCCTTTAAAACACAATGTTGCCTTTTTTTTTTGCTGTTTGATCCTTATACAATCTCACGGCATAATTGGTTTTATTGTTCCTGTTTCTACATCATGAGCAATTATCAGTAAAGTGCGGTCAAACCAGCTGAGGAAAAGCTGACTTTCGATTTTTTGTTTTGTGTGTGTGTGTGTGTGTGTGTGTGTGTGTGTGTGTGTGTGTGTGTGTGTGTGTGTGTGTGTGTGTGGTTATATAATGGGAGCCAATGCCAAATGGATAATAAAAGAAAGGTGTGTCATCTAGGAAGATTTTAATGTTTATCTTCGGGGATTTTTTTTTTGTTTGCCTTTTCGAATGAAATGGTAGGAAAATGACATCTGATTATATGAAAATGTAACTGTCACGATTGTCGGTTTATCAAGTAGATCAGGGAGGAAAAATGCTCTTAACGCAACTCACACCTGCAGGATCATCTTGAGAGGCATCTCATAATAGGGCCTTTGCTGACGTTGATCAGCACCGGGAGGGAGAATGCTCAATTTTCACCCGATTGTCGGTACGTGTGTTACAGCATGAGAGCAAAAGTGTGAGCCAAATTTTTTTTTTTGTTTGTTTTTTGTGATGAGCAAGTTTCTGATCATGCTGCCACCTGGATAAAATGAAAAGAATGGACCCACTAATTTGGATTTACATTTTAAAATACTTATTTATCTCGGGCAGAGGTGTCAAACTCATTTTTGGCGTGGGCCACATTTAAGTTACCGTTTCACTTGGAGGGCCATTATGACTGAAACCGAAAAGAAGTCAAGAATAACTGATGATTCAACTCTTGATTCAGTTACTATCATGAAGGTTTTGGGAACAGGATCATCGAAGTTAACATCTTTGAGCTGCTTTCGCGGGCCATATAAAATGATGTGGCGGGCCAGATCTGGCCCCCGGGCCTCAAGTTTGACACATGTGATCTAGGGTAATGTATCTACCCCTTTTCTTTCTGTCTCAAAGTGTCAGCAGTCAAGATTTCTGTAGGCTGCAGCTGCAGCTGGCCCTTAAATGTGTGTGTGTGTGTGTGTGTGTGTGTGTGGGTGTGTGTGTGTGTGTGTGTGTGTGTGTGCGCGCGCGCGCGCGCGTGCATGTGTCGCAGGGCGTTGGGCAGCTCCGGGCCACATCAGCTCAAGCCCCACTGGTCCTGTTTGTGTGCATACGTGTGTGTGTGCATGTGTGTGTGTGCGTGCGTGTGTGTGTGTGTGTGTGTGTGTATGTGTGTGTGTGTGTGTGTGTGTGTGTTTGTTTTTTCCAGTGTGCGTATGTGTCGCCCTGTCTCTTTATTCCCTCTTTATGCTTGTGTTCATTTGTGCGTGCGTGCGTGCGTGCGTGCGTGCGT